ACAGAGAGACAAGCTTAGTTCAAATGAGGAAGTTATTCTGATTCGGAAAGTAATCCTAATGCTATCGGCATAATAAAAGGTGGGTCTATCTTAAGCCCTTCTCAGTACGTTCGTACAAACTGGGTACAAAAATGCAATCCACGTCGCAGTAATCCTTAATGATGCTACAGGCTAGTGTCCATTAAGAGGCACATGTGTATTGATCTTCAAGAAACGTGTTTTGAAAAGCAAAACAATTTTTTATTAAGACCTAATGGTATGTTTCGCTCTTGTGTTATAGTATTAAACTGATTCGCCAATCTCATCCTTAGCGATTCAATTCACATATAATATATTATCCGGGCTTCGTTTTAAACCGAACATAATCTCTTTCGTTTTGTTAGTGTTTACATAAACGTTTCACAACTTAATCGGTGTTACATATATATATATATATATATATATATATATGTATGTATATATGTGTGTGTTTAGTTAATGACCTAGTTTGAATAACCATTACTTTTAATTGAATATAAGAATAACTTTCATTGCATTTACATGAGCAAGTGAATTGCAAAGAATTCAGCGTAGACTCCAAGCTAGCGAGACATTCGACCACGGTCTCGGGCTTGGTCTCGGAGTTTGGCTTTACCCTCAATTGATTTAACCGGTGTGATAAATCTTTATTATCTTTAAATAATCACGCTGAGGAAGTTCTAAAAGTTATTTCTCGCGGTTTTTCTAAAAAAAAAAAAAAAAAAAAAAATATAACACAAATCTAACTCAATTGTCAAGTGTTCATAATTCGTGGTATGTGATATGGATTTGGTTTTTATATCCATCATGGAAGGATGGGGAGTGTATCCATTTTGTCAGTTCGTTTGTAGCGGAAGGAAGCTTCAAACACTCCTCTGAGTACATATATATTCTTGATCGATATTAAATTCTAAATTGATTGGAACATGTCCGTCTGTCCGCCTGTGTAAATGGAATAAATAATTGGCTCTTTACCCATTACTTATAAACTACAGCAGATAAATTTACAAAAATTTCAGCATATACTTTATGGGCGATGCTGCAGTCCCCGTACAAAAATGGGCCACGCCTACATACTTTTATAGTGCACAAAAGCAATTAACGCCATTAAGTATATAAATTCTTGGCCAGTTTTAAATTCGGAAGGCACCTACGCATGTTCACGTGTTCATCTGCCCATCTATTCGGTCTACGTAGGTGCGTAGTATTTGTTGTAAATATTCTTCCGTTGGCGAAAATGAAGATATCGACTACGAACTTGCAAAAGAATTTCAAAATGTAGGAAACTTCTCAAGAAATATGACTACAAGTCCCATGTAACACATCCATGTAACAAAAACGTTAAACACCTTTGCTTTCCGCATTTTTTACTTCTTACTCATAAAGTATAACACGTACAGCATATAAATTTTTACTTTTATTTTGAAAATACAAATAATCAAGCTCACCCAAGCTCACTCTGTGTTGTAGAGTATGAATATTTAGTCGTTCCCCTTGCTTTTAGGATCACCGTGATGGGCATAAAAAATTCGGTCACGATCGAGTACAATTTTCTTACTTGTTTTACTTTTATTTTGTAATTTTCTGCTATCGTTTTATCCTATAATTCAATTAAACAAACAAAAAATAAATAAATACATTGGTTAAAAAAATTTTAATGAAAAGCATAAATATTGTTTCATGAAACTTGTACAAAAAACGATTTCGTTAATTAAATTACTTTAGCGTGTAAATATATGCACGTGTAGACAGACATACTAGCCGCGAAGTTGGCATGATTTTTAAATTACCTAAAAAAAGTAATAGTAAACAATAGCTAAAAATACAAAAACGGTTTACAAAAAAAAAAAAAAAAATCAACAAAAAATAATCTCGCAATTACTGACAGCAATATGGATAAAATTAAAGCAACGTGCAGCAACGTATTGTACAAACAACATTAGAACACTAAATCGATCCGGACATATTTCGCTTGCATGGCCTTTTCTCGCAAACAGAGTAGCAGCAGAGTGGATTTTGCCAAGGTTATAACCAGGTGTAGAACTTGAACTTCGTTCAGGAGGGTCTCGATAATGCGAGCACTTACCTACCTTTACCTGCTCAAAAAAATTTCATAAAAAGTTATGTTATTAGCTTTCGAATTGATTTTCAAATATTGCATGAATTTTCATGAAAATCATGTATGTACATAGTCCCTGTTGAGATGATATATTGATATATTATGTCAATACGCCATAAATTTATGTGGAGAATAGAAAGAATGACGGATAATAACTTTATTATTAAAATTAATGTTTAGCGTAAAGTAATTCAAATTCAGGACTAAGAAGGTTTGACGACTCTGCGCTTCTGAAATTTGATTCGGCAACTATGCGACTTTAGAACATGACTGGCCGACTTTCATTTATCAACTGATTATCGTTTCTGTGACTGTGCTTCTGTGCAGCGTTACTTCGCTCGCCGAAAATTCTTTACACTGAAAGTTTACGACATCATGACTACGTACGTATTTTAACTTAGGGGACTCTACACAAATGGGACATTGAGAATATCCAGGTTAATCGTTGATGTTAATGGTCTGCCTACACTGCAACCGCATTAGCCTTCGAATGAAGCAGACAATGTAAAATTTTACCGAAAACGGCCACAAAATTATACCAGTTTGTAAATACCCATTAAGTATAAGAGATTTTTGTAAATAGACAAGATTTCGTTTTTCCACCGAATTATGCAGCGATTTGGTGTAACCTACGTTGTAGGTATTGGGGTAAATTCTGGCGTTGGGATCGGTCACCACTCATAAAAGTACAAAATATGTATATTCTTGTCATAGTTGTTTTGATTTTGTATCAATTTTGGTATTCCAAAGAAATACGCTTCGACATCAATTTTATTATGAAATAGGCTTCTTCGGTCCGGCAAACAATTCAAAAAAAAAATTTGATGAGACTTGTGATCTCTTTGTGATGTTGCTCAGAGTACGAATAATTAAATCAATCGTTCGTCAAAGTTGCATAAACTCCTGCTTGTTTGTTAATTCTAAATATATTTTGAAGTTTGTTAACACCAAAAGAAAAATGTCAATATATCTCTCGCAGAGTTCTTTCAATGGCTCTCTGTCCTCTGATGATGTTCAAACCTTAAATCTCTTTGCTGAATACTTCCGACGAAATTCACTTCAACGGTTGATACCCATTTAACCATTAATTATCGATTCGGATCACAAACTCGATCTCGATTCCTAACTTCGGCATCTCACATAGTTTAAGGTATCTAAGATATAGTTGTGTGCCTAGGCCTGATGGTATTCCATCATGTATAATCAGTGTTATTTTAGAGGTTTCTAGTCAGCCCTCTGTAGTCAGGTGTTTTCTGTTTGTGCTGGAAGAGTGGTTTCCTTATTCCACTTCACAAATGTGGAAACATTGCGGACATCGCGTTGAGAACGGCAAAGCCATTGCCAAGTTTACTTGGCAAATTGTTGAGAGAATTATTACTCACTATTTCCATTTTGCTATCAAATCTTCTATTTCTCCATTCCAGCATGGCTTTCAGAAAAGACGATTGACTGTTACGAATCTGTTAGGGTTTATATGCCACGTTTTCAAGGCCCTTTCTAGCGGTGATTAGTTAATCATAGTTCAAACTCCCTTTCTACTTTGGGAAATCGATAAACTCTTATCTACATAGCAGATTACTCAAGATTCTGCTTAACTCCCGCGACGTCTGGCTTTAAGGGCCATTTTATTTATCCTATACATCAATGATCTCCACTCGGTGTTTAAATCCGGCCATGTAGTTTCTGTTTTCTACCTTCACCTGGGAATCAAAATCGTATCAGCTTCAAATTGATTTAAATAATTTTATTTATTTATTTGCTGCAAAGAGTCTACTGAATTCGGTTATTAATCTCTCTTAGCTGAGTTTCATGTGTAAGTACATGAATAAGCGAAATGAACCGATAAAGGCGCATGTCAAGATTTAGGAAATGTTTTCCATCACTTGATTAATCAGTATGTTCGATATGTATAGCATTCAAGAATCGGCATCAGTAGTAGCATCAGGTTCACCAGAGCAAGGAACATCTTAACATAGAAAGAAAACTTTCGCAACAGGAATCGCGAACCATCTTTGACACAAACATTACATTACTTATCGCATTCCTCATCGGCGTAAATTTTTAGTAAGTGGGTAAGGTATTACTACCGTATACTCCTATGAGTGCAAGAATGTGTCTGCCTTTCAGTCAGTCATTCAATCTGTCTGTCAGCCAATCAGTCAGTCAGTCAGTCAGCCAGTCTGTCCGTCTGTCAGTAAGTCAAACAGTCACTCAGTCGATCAGTCACTCAGCCACTCAGTCAGACAGTCAGTCTGTCAGCTAGTCAGTCAGTCGGTCAGTCAGTCTGTCCGTCTGTCTGTCAGTCTGTCAGCTAGTCAGTCAGTCAGTCCGTCAATGAGTCATACAACCTGTCAGTCATTCATTCAATCTATGTGTCAGTCTGTCATTTGGACCATTTTCGAAGTTTGAAAGATCAGCGTTCGCGCGGCATTTATCGGAGTTGCAAACGGGCAGTTTGCAATCGTCTTACGATATTGAACTTATTTATAAAATATCTCTGGCAATTGGGCCGACATTGTCCCGGACAGATATTATTACGTAATTATAAGTAATACCCTTATTGACATTGACATGACACGACAATGAATCTAATCAGGTCGATATGAAATGCAATTTCAAATACATATTTACCAGATAGGGATTGAGGAGCATATTGAGCTCCTCCTCGCTGAGGACAACAAGACTTTAATGCGTATTTATTTTTTTACTTTTAATGGAACATGTTATGTGGTGTTAATATACATGCGCTGATTGAATTTTTAATTAAAACGGTTATAATTTTCTATATTTCTTTCTTCTTTGCTATTAATATCCATTCTCTGCAGTTTACTAATCACAAGTTTTTGTTTGCTTTCTTTTCCAGGTTTCACATAGATAAACGTTGTCAGCATCGTTGTTCCTGGAAATGTTTGAGCATTGCCTTAATATTAATATCAGTCGTCCTAACAGCCATGTTGGCGTATTTTGCTGGTAAGTAACGTTGTTGTTGTTATCATTATCATCATAACGTATGGCTCAACACATTAACATTGCAATTACAATAAGTTAGTTGGAAACAATTCAGTTCATTAAGTATTTATTTAATGTTATTTAGATAGATTGGATCGTCAAAAAAAACTAAGAAAGTTATATACGGCTAGGGTCGAATCTCGCACACCCACCACCATTAAAAACTTTGATGCTCCATGCTTTCATTTATTGATAAAATTTATCATTCACCTTTTACTTTACTAAAAGGTGTTACTAAGAATAATTATTATCTATGTTGTCATGACGTCCATGATAATTAATTTAGTGTTAACATATTTAGCTTTTCGCATTCTACTCCTCAAGCCCTTTTATTTGATATCCTGCTGATATTGCTGGTGCAATTAGGAAAAAATTAACCCATCAGGTCATGATGTCTACCACATTCACTTTAGAATTAGCGCGTTTGTAGAAGATGTCTTCATTTGAGGAATGCACAAATTATGTTCTGTTACAATCCTACGATTGATAAGCCTAATAAAACCTCAAGAAAATGAAAGAACTATAAGTTGATCACTTGTAAGTAGTAGAGCTTTTCGTCAAGTCCTTGTGGAAAATGTCAGGAGAAATTTTTTTTTTATAATTTGGGAGTAATAAGTAGAAACTCTCAAATTTCTGTTTAGAAACACGGAGCTGCATTCAATTTACGCTCCACTGCAAAGCATGTGCTTCGACCAGTTTGGCCCGTTCTTGATATCAAACTGCATGCAAATCAATTGCATTCAATCTTTCTAACACATTTGAAGTCGATATCTTCCGTTTTGCGAGCAGAAGCGTGTGAATAACACATATCACACACAAACACACAGATGGACCGAACTTCATGCTGATCAAGAATATATATATATATATATATATATATACTTTATAGGGTTTCTGGACTAATTGCAAACATTATGACAAAATGAGCATAACCCCCCGCCGATCCTTCAGTGGTGGGTATAAAACGAGAAGATTAGAAATATTGCATCCTCTCCCAAGAAATATGCACTTTTAATAAGAACATTATATATATATATATATATATATATATATATATATATATATATATATATCGGTGCATAGAGAGTGTGTGAAATGAATTACTTACACAAATGCTGGGAGTTAAACGTTCAAATCTCTCGCAAAAATGAAATCGCCGAAATGTGACATGAAAGAGCGCTCAATATTTCTTAGACAACGGAAATCGTACAATAAAGTGTATAACCGATATAAGGATTAACATATTTTTAGGCAGACGCATCGCGTGTTCATAGTCTTTCGTTACATTCAGATTACTGTCAAATAAAATGTAGTCTCCGCTACATTTATGGACGCATGTACTTACGCGAACTTTTTGCGAGCTAAGTCTAACATAATGTAAACATGGCTTAAATTTAACATTTCCCTACACACGTAAGTACAAGTTTAAATATGCATATACAGATATATGTGTATATGTATAGTGAGCGTTATTAAACCTTAACGTATTAATATTCCACTAAATGTTATGCCCTTACGTGTTAACGACACAAACTCATCACCACTAACAGCATCGTTGTGGAAATGTGCGCGCTCTTGTGTACACACTATTTTCCGTAAATAAGGAATGCTATTATGGAGAGATTTTTTTTTGTTTTTTTTTTTTTTTTTTGCTTTCCCAGTTCTCGCATAAAATCAAATTAGTTGGCTTTGCCATTTTATAATATTAAAAGCTAGAAAAACACAATGCGTGTCTATCTGCATTTGGTACGTTTCTGTCTGTATTCTATTGCCATACACTGGAGATTAGTATGTTGTGTATGCATAAAGTTAGTCATATGCTGGTATTTGTTTTGCTTTTTTTTCGTGTTTTTTTTTTTTTTTATTTTTTTTTTTTTATGTTTCTCGAATGGAAAAAATAGTGAAACGTACATAGAATCTCATTAACAAGTTAAGTAAAATAAAAAAAATAAAAAAAACTAATTCTTTTTCCGCTGTTTGTTTTGGTAGGTAAGGGAATATGAAATTCAGAAGTTTAGTGCTTTCACGTTTAAATGCCATCGAAAACATGCACACATACATGAATATGGATATTCATTTAAGTAATTGTTTTAATTAACCTTGGTTTCTATGGCACAGGCATTGGGGAAAATGCGACATAATTAAAAATTTAAATAATATCGAAAGAGTTTACACAGCTTAATAGAAACTGTTTCTTGGGAGTTGTTGATCAATTCTTTCTTTTTTTTTTTTGTTTTTTTTTTTTTTTTTTAATTAAACTTATTACACCCACGAGATAACATAATATAAATTTTATTGGAAAACAAATTAATTGCCAAAGCAGAGCAACGTGAGCTCGAAACATTTCCCATTTGCATACCAATAAGCAACACTACTAAACTCCGATCCTATGAACTGAACTCAGATTTTTCACATTTCCATAGCTATCACGGATTGATTAGAGCAGATTCCTTGCTCTGTATGTTGCGCATTTCTAACGGCGAAAACTTCGTGGCTTGGGCGTTCAAAAAGAAGAAGAACAAGAAAAATTCAACAGTCCATCCGGCCTCAGTGCTGCCACCGTTTTCTAAACGAGTTTTGGTAAAAGATTTATTTAATCATCATGACTGAATGGTGGTTGCTTGGTATCGTTGGCATACATATAGGCAGATCACGCCCAATTTTTAACCTCATATTCTGAATTGCAACTCTGTGAGTTTCACAAAAAGCAAATAAGAAAGTTATACGCGCAGGTCGCCTTCTAATTTTTATAATTTCTGAGTAACACGCAAAAACCCACGAATTTTTATTAAACAGAGAGCGGGTTGCAATTAGCTTACGTTCCATTGCAGACTTCTGCTCGGGCCAATTTGGCCCAATTTCAATACCAATCTGGGTGCGAAAACTTTCAGTGTTTCTACTAAAGTTCAAATTGGTTCTTCATTTTTGCGATCAGGCGAGTGCCAGCAACACATCACACAGTTGGACAGATGTACAGATACGGCTCAAACAATTCAGAATTTCAGGCTGTGGCGCGTATAAAAAGGGAATCAAAATGTTTTCTATTTGGCAGAAGAAGTATAATATATGTCATGGACATCTTGAAAACCAGAACAGGTCGGAAAAAATTGATTGCAGACAGTTTTGAAAGTCTTTTCGTACAAGTAAAAGTTACTTTTAAAACCGAGACCAATGCATACCGAATAAGCTTATTTTTGAAGATGTAAAAGGATTAAAAAGACGCACTCAGTCGTTCCGTCGGTGTTAAAATATAATAAATTCTTAATTAAATTCGAATTTCAAGTAAATTATATTATATTTGTATGTCTGGTGATCCCTTCAACTTATCATAATTTTCACGTATTAAAATTTTCGAATGAGACTAAGACTCAGAGCACTTAGCTCTGCTTTGAACCAAATCGGAAAATGTAAGTGTAAAGCTTAGAAGTGCTTCCACATCGATCAACGAATAAGCTGAAAACTTTTAAAATTTAAGAAATTATACGTAAGCCGCGGCAGACTACTATCTGCGGGTTATTATTATTATTATTATTATTATAAACTTAGCCAGAGAATAAATTCTAAGACTAAAGTCTTAAAGCACTAGCATCCAAGGCTTTCGGCTTTATTAAAAACTCTACCGCACTTGAGATTTGAACCCACGATCATTGAGTTGGTAGTCGAGACTCTTGCCTACTCGGCCACTCAGGCGGATTATATCTGCGGGTTAAAAACAAATGTTTATCAAGAACAGATAAAGGCTGATTCTAATGCAGTCCAAGGCGATTAGCTAAGCTAATTTGCTACACAATAACAATAACTGATTCTTGGCTAGAAGGCCAAACATACATAGACTTATTGCATTTTTTATGCGATGTGAAGCGATAGGCAGATAAAGTGAAATCAGGATTTGATAAGCGAGAGTCAGCAGCCAAGATGAACGAATCAATGAATTCTCTATAAAACTGTTAACGCATTTCACGTCTCTTTATGGTGCTGCGTGGTTTAAATTTTAGATTTTGAAGCAATCTTCACTTTTTCTATCGGTTGAAGTATTTTTTTTTGTTTTTATATTAAATCAATTTAAATGAAAATTTTTGAAATACGAGGTGCGTTCAAAAAAGAAAACAGACCTTTCAAATTTCGCGGGCTACGTTTATTCGATTTTCGAATTTTTTTTTTCGCTAATTTGGTACGCATTGGCGATTTTTCGTTTCCGAAAAAAAATGGATCAACAAATTTTTATTAAATTTTGTGTGGAAAATAAAATTAAGTGCTCACTCCAGTCTACTTTGATTGAAAAAATATATATATATATATATATATACAAGTGGTACAAGCTCTTCACCGAGACTAAGAATACCGAGAAGATTTTAATGACGATGTCCGCCGTGAACGCCGCAGCAAGCCAAAAACCGTGGAAAACTTTCAAGGAATAAAGCAAATTGTAATGGAGACTCGTCGAATGACCATTAGAGAAATCGTAGATGATATCGAAATATCGGTTGTTTGATGCCATGCAATTTTTTCAAATATTTCGGGCTTGAGAAGTATGGCAGTTAAGTGTGTGCGGACATTGCTAAATTTTGATCAAAATCATTTGGTCGCATGATCCAAATCACCAGAGTTGGCCCCCTGTGACAATTCCTATTCTCAAAACTAGAAAGATCCATGAAAGGGCGGAGTTTTGTCTCAATCGAGAGGAGATAAAGACCGCATTGCTAGAAGAGGTGAAGGCCATACCACGAGGTGCATATCAATAGTGCTTCGACAATTGGAAAAAGGGCTTGCACAAATCTATTCTATCTAATAGGGATTACTTTGAAGAGGACAAAGCAGATATTGATGAGTAAGTATCTAGATAATGCAATGAAATGACAAATAAAAAGTCACTTATTCTTCGTGAGCACACCTCGTATGTCTATCGTGTAAAAATGGATATACGTGCATCGTATATTCCGCGAGTGCAAATGTTGTCTTTT